TAGGAAGAGCTTTGGGGCGGTCTGAAAATAGTGAACCGCTCTGGACCAAAGCCTGGTGAGCAAGGGAACGATCGAAGACAAAGATGGCAGGGCGAGGACCGATGTGGATGGTGACCATGGGGCCAAGCTTTGTACGGAGGTCGCGGAGGATTGGTTCTATTTGGAAGAAAGATTTGCGGAGCCATAAGATGTTACCGATGATAGGGAAAGTGGGAGGGCCTGGAGGGAGAGTGTGGGGAAGCTTTTTGGAAGGGTAGAAGAGGTTGAGGAAGGCCTTGAGAAGAAGAGAAATAGAGATCGTGAGAACGATGAGGAACCAGGCTTCCATGGCTTTTGGCCTTTGGGAAAGTAGAGAAGACGTGACAAAAAGAAATTTTGAGGTTTTTCTGGCTTTCTAGGCCCAGCGTGTCTTCGTCTCCATTTATGGTTGTGGATTGTTCAATGCATAATGTTCGAAAGATATGCTTTTGAATCAAATATTTGCCAAGGAATATCCAATTAATTAAAAAAAATTATTCAGCAATGAGACACATATTTAAAGAAGGAAATACTGTGGCTGACTTTTTGACAAACTAAGGCTTATTCATATATGAGGATTATGAATTTTATGATGTTCCATACTAGATTTGTCCTCTTTAAGGATATATTGGGGATTAGATTCCTTTCTTTAATTAGAATTTAATAATTTTTTTAACAAATTTAATTAATTAATGAAAGAAAAATTTTAAAAATTATGTATGTAAATAATATTACAAAAATATTTTTAGCATAAAATTCTTTAATAAATATATTTATAGAGATTGTTTCATGCATTGACATATTTCATGTACAAATTTAGTTACTATTATGTATTCTTAGAGGATTATTCTAATGTTAATTAGAATAATAGCTTTACAAAAAATTTCAAAGTGTTTTTGGAGGCTGTAAACAAATTCAAAACTCCAAAATATATATATCACCATTGCAAAAAATTACTATAAAAGTTATATGATTTTGTGAATTTTTTTTTAAGTGCTAATTTATCCAAAAAATTTATATGCAGGTTGGATGGGAAGTTGACAATATGCAATATGTCCAATCAACCTCAATCCAAAATGTTCATTCAGTACTCAATCTATCAATCTATATAACAAAAAGATTTCTTTAAGGTTAAGAGATTCTAAACATCCTTTCTTTGTCATTATCCTGGAATAAAAGAAATAGAAAAAGCAGGAAATAGTAAGTTTTAATTTCCATTTAATAAGGGTAAAAGAAGAGACAATATAAAATTACAACTCTGAAAACAAAATAGTGAAGCACCAAAAACAATAAAATCTACAAAGATTAAAAATGAAGCAGCCAAAAACATTATCTCTGGCTGCTTTTGTCTCTGTTCAGCTAGTCACTGGGTTATCCGTCACTCTCTTTTGGTGTTGGAGTATTGAATAACTTTTCTGATGAAGCAGGCTTTCATGTTATGACAATGGGGGATTGTTTTGGTTGCATGGAATACAGGATTTTCATTTGCACAGAGGTTTTGGGTTTTTTTTTTTTACCGTGAATGAACTGTCGTGCTGTACAAGAGTGGTTTTGTGCTCTTTTGTTCGGCTAGATCCTCTTTTGGTTTGCCCAAGGTATTCCAAACCTTTTGTGCTTGTAGGGTGGCTGTATATTTTGTTTTTTGGGTTCATAGAGAGATCCAGTTGCTGCAGATTGTGTTTTTGATATCTGCGGACTCTTCTTTTGGTGGTTGGAGGCTTTTTGTCCTCCTCTTGGATGTATCTTTTGCATAGCTAATGAAATGGTTCAATTCTGACTTTCAGAAAAAAAAAAAATATGAAGGTTAGTCAATAAATATACAGCCAAACCAACAAAAAATGAAATAGAAATGAACAAAAATACTTTCAATTTCTATAGAATGAAACAATAAGTAAGCTAAGATAATACTCATCCAGAATTCTATATGTAACGAGCAAGACCATAGATATTCACAATATATATCACTATTAACTTCACTAATATTATGGGCAACCTCATTTGGCTCTCAAAGTAGATAGAGAAAGAATAAAATTTGCATGAAGAAACTAACATGGCATGTAAACTTAACCAAACTACATAGAAATATTATCAAACATATTTAAGCTCAATAGCTTAATAATCAAACAAAACATGATAATTAAAAATTTTATTGCAGGATGCTAACACAAAACTTACTTTTGCTTTTCTCTCAAAAATATTAAAGAATCCGTAAAAATTGCAGTAAGTAGGCAGCATAGATCTCAAACTTACGCAAACAATACAGCAAAACAACAAAATATAAAAATCAAAGAAAAATTAACAAAAAGAAAGAAATTATCAATTCCCATACAACAAAATAGCAAATGAAATGGTAGAAGAAAATTAATAGAGCAAACAAATAAGTTATCTTGTTTGGCAGACTAAAACTTTATTACAAGAATAATATAATGATCAACAAATAAAATACAACAATGCATTAATCATCACAAACAAAATTATCAACTAATAATCAGAAAAAGAAAAAGAACAAAAAAAAGGTGCATCAACCCAAACATAGTAGTTAAACACAAAAATGAAAAAACAAAATCAAGCTTCTAAGAACAAACCGACATAAAAACCGGATTGAATTAATGGCGCAAACAATGATGACAATCGAAAACAAACGAAAGTTATAAACCAATAACAATGATTATCGAAAGCACAATAAATGAAATAATAAAATAATATACTGACAGGGTTTCACAATAGAATAATATCATGAATTTATTTTAACTAGAAAAAAATAGTGAGTAAATGTACCGTGGTTGAAGGTAGGATAATTAAAAAGGAACTTAAGCATTACTTAAATAGGTTCCAACTTTTCCACATTTAAAGGACCCACACATATGATAGAGCTTTTGTTTGGATTGTCAATTCTTTGCATGATTTAGCCATGGAAATAGGAAAGAGAGATTTCCTAGTTGTGGACAAATAGTTCTCCAAAGATTCACGCTTTAAAGATTTTAAGACAATCATCTCAGAAATAGCAATCCAACCAACTGAACGATAGTGTGAATAAAAAAGAACTTAAGTAGGATAATTAGAAGAAATATCAAATGAATTTGAAGATGAAGAAAATTCAATTTTAATTCTTCGTAGATGAAGACAAGAAGTAGGAATGTATACTTCATTTTGTTTCTTTAAATTTTAAAATTACTTTGCTGACTTGAAGTTTCTTGGTCTTTGCACAAAGTTTTTAGTTAATCAATTCTTTTATAGTGGAGATAGAATATCTTCAAAATGTTTCGTTTCCCTTACCTCAATAACAAATAAAAAATAGCAATATGCAATTGGAGGATGAACTGGCAAGAATAAAAGAAAAGGATAAGTCACAAACCAAGCTACAAACATATGCAAATGCACGGAAATGAAGCCACTATTTTGTATAAGTACCAGAATAACAATGAGTATACATTAAAAACAATGATATCTCACCACATAACATAGTTAAAAAAAAAAAAAAAGCCATTGAGCATAAAAATCACAATATATGTTTAGTTGTAACTGAAACCTTAGGTGATAGTTACCTTAATGAAAGGTCAACAATATCATTAATGAAACAGAGAATAATTAAGCAAATATCAAAATTTACTGACATATCGTACACTAATTAAAGAAGCTTTTTCATTAAGATATTATTAGCATCAATCATAATTACTTCGATAGCTTAACATTTGATTATAACATACCGTTGAATTAACTGTTAAAAACAAACCATTCTCGCTAATAAAGGAAGAAGAGGTTGACCTATAGAAAAGAGCAATGGAAAAGGAGGAGAAGAAGACGAAAAGAATTGAGCAAGTAAGAGATGAGAGGGGCAGAGAACTTAGGAAAGAGAATTGAAAATGACATTAAATAAATAACCAGGAGAAGCAAGAAAAACGAGAGAAACATAAAAGAAAAGAAGTAAAAAACAATGAAAACAAACCTGAGTAAATCGAGTTCAAAACATTAAGAAATTAATAAAAGAACTGTAAAAAAAAA